AGAAACAGCGGAAAGAGTACTGAACCGTTATAGATGAAGAAGAGGCTTAAATTAACAGATGAATAAGAGGTGTAAAGTAGCAGATGAAGAAGAGGCTTAAAGTAGCTGACGAAGAAGAGGCTTAAGCAAACAGATGAAGAATAGGTTTAAATTAACAGATGCAGGAGAGGCTTAAAGTAACAGATGAAGAAGAAGCTTAATGTAACAGATGAAGAAGAAGCTTAAATTAACAGATGAAGATGCTTTAAGTAACAGATGAAGAAGAGGCTTAAACTAACAGATGAAGAAGAGGCTTAAAGTAAAAAAAATGAAGAGACTTAAATTAACAGATGAAGAAGAAGCTTAAAGTAACAGATGAAGAAGCTTAAAGTAACAGCTGAAGAAGAGGCTTAAACTAACAAATGAAGAAGATTCCTAAACTAACAGATGAAGAGGCTTAAATTAACAGATGAAGAAGAGGCTTAATGTAGCAGAAGAAGAAGTGGCTTTAACTAACAGATTAAGAAGAGGCTTAAAGTGACAGAAATGTAGTTCTACAGAAGAATATTGTGAGAATGTTGTGAGAAACGACGAAGTTTTAGAGAAAATTGAAACTAAAAGGACACTTATACTCAATATCAGAAAGAAAAAGTTAAAATGTCTAGGGTACATAATGAGAAAAAAGTGCTTGGAAAATTTAACACTCACAGAACATATTGAAAGCAATACTGACAACGAAAAACAGCGTATAATCTACCTAACGATCTTGAGTAAGTGAGTGGCAGGAAAGAGTTTAGGAGAGATAGCAAAAACACAAAATTTATTAAGGGCTGCAAAGGACAGGAAATTGTGGAGTGCCATGATCACTAACGCCCTGAATGGACACCATACAAAGAAGCAGAAGCAAAAGAAAAAGTGTTATATATGTCTACAAACTATAATGTAATTCACTTCTGTGGTTTCAGCCTGTATATAGTTTTAATAGATACCAAAATAATGTATAGTTATATTTCCTTAGATCAGTGATTCCTAAACTTCTTTTTCTCTGGGCCGCATTTTCGGAATGAAATTTTTTTCGCACCTCACAAAAAACTTATGTGATAAAAAGGTACATTTAAAAATAAAAAATACAGAGAAGATTAATGGGAGATAACCGTGGATTTGAAGTCAAAACATTATCATTGATAACTCTTTCTTCCAATTTGAAGAGCCTAGTTAATATATTCTTAATACTTTATATAAGGCAAAAATAATCATTTATAACTATTTATACTGGGATTCATGCATGCAATTACAAGTAATCCATGATAATATTTTACATTTTGTAATCATATTTATTTTTGAATTTTTAAAACTGTTTCTAAATCTTTGGCTATCTTTCGATCATTTCCCCACTCAACTGCTATCCTCTTCCGACGCAACCATGATGCGTGCCATACTGTTTAGAAACCACTGCTTTAGGCCAATGGCCAAATCTCAGTCTCGCTTCACTCTTCTTGAATGGAATCTCATGTAACTTCTTCATACCTTTCTTTTTATGTCTGATTACAATAAACTTATGATTACAATTAAGTACATCTTATTTTCATTCAAACCCTCGATCTTATGCATAATATATAGCCGTTAAGCCAGTTATCTCGTTTGACTATAGACTGGTGTCAATTTTAAGGTTTTACCAGTTCATTCCTTTACAGATAAGGGATGATAAGCTATTTCCAGAGAGTTGAATCACAGTCATTTACTTCATGTTCCAAAGGTAAGAAAAATTATTGTTCCATTCAGTTTTTTTTCCGCAAAATTGTCACGTTTTAGAAGAGACTCACGTTTTGTTCCTACTCTCAAGACTACAATCTCAACCTGTTGAAGTCAAGGGTGAATCTTTACTTCTTTTCCTTATCCTCATCATCTTCACTTCTTCATGACGCACATCTCATTCATCATAAGAATTTTAACATTTGTGCTCGACCATTTGTGAGCCTTGAATGTGGCGTATTTTAGTAAGAAATAATTACATTTTAACAAGAGACTCATTATTTTAAAGTTAATATCTATCACGGGTTTGGTATGTATTTTTTAACAAACAGTTAATTTCATTTAGTATATTAATTTCATGATACAGAAATAAAATCCAATAAAATATCTATACTTATAGTGAATAGGATGTTTTGAAAAATTGTTTTTATGTACCCTATACTCAGACTTGGCCAACCGTATGAAGATTTGAGTAAACCAATAATTGAACTGACTTAAAATACTAATTGCAAATTACTTCTCAAGTTAAACACACCCACGTGTATGTATGTATGTACGAGGGTCATTCAATAAATAAGGTGAATTTTTCGGTATAAGGACTTCTAATACAGATAGAAGCTTACTTTTTGTTATTTTTTTTTTTGTTTTACTTCTTTTTCACATGGATTTAATTTCTTTTGCAGATTAAAAAAAAAAAAAAAACTTTGTGAGTTTTGGCGATTAACAAAGATGGCCGACCAAGAAGCATGCTCCAGGATTGAACAGCGGTCAGTTATCAAGTTTTTTTGGTTGCTGAAGTTTGCAAACCAGTTGAAATTCATAGGAGAATGTCAACTGTGTATGGTGCCACATGTTTCAGCCAAAAAATGTCTACAAGTGGGCTAAATTGTTTAAAGAAGGACGGAGCAGAGTTGAGGATGAAGACAGGCCTGGGAGGCCTACAGAAGTGAGGTCTCCGGAGGTGATCGAATCAGTCAATGACCTCATTCTGTCTGACAGAAGAACTACTGTGAACTGCTGAGGCAGGCCAAGAAAGACATAAAGAACAAACGCAGGGGTCATCAGTCAGAAGGAGTCATCTTGCATCATGACAACGCAAGGCCTCACACAGCAGCCCAAACGGTTCAGACCATCAACGAGTTGGGCTGGGAACTGCTCCCTCATCCCCCTTACAGCCCAGACCTTGCCGCTTCAGACTTTCACCTGTTTTGTCCCTTGAAAGCGTTCACGAGAGGCACGAAGTTTAAAAGTGACTATGAAGTCAAAAGTGTTGTGAGCGACTAGCTGAGACATTAGTCCAAAGATTTTTAAGCTGAGGGATTACGGAAGCTTGTGCACAGATGGGAAAAGTGTGTGACAGTGCTGGGAGACTACGTTGAAAAAAAGTGAGCTTCTATCTGTATTAGAAGTCCTTATACCGAAAAATTCACCTTATTTATTGCATGACCTTCGTATTTATCTATCTATCTATTTGTTGTAACCTAGGGATGGTTACTGAATAGAATAATCAATCGAAGGTTGATAATGAACGATAATATTTAGGACACGAGCAACACATATAAGATTCGCCAGCGCCGCGTAGAAGTAGTAGTCAACTACTAGAAGTGAGTCAAGTGAATTCCACAATGAATCTCTAACTGCAGGATATCTACCAACCGCCTCACACGAAGGATATCCGAGCCCGTAGACTCGGCCAAAAACTTTCCGTAGACCCCATACAAAACGGGGTCGGGTAGCTGTTTCCCGAGACTAAACTTTGCTCTTCGACATAGCCTCGTCTGGGGATCCTCTTTGCCCGGAGGCAGAGAGTGTGACTTGCACAGCTGGAGACGAATCTCCAATTGCAAACCAACATACAGTATTTACTATTGTATTTATATGAATGGGGACATACCAAACGTCCGTAGGTATACTATCTATCTATATGAGGAAAGTTGAATGAGAGTTTTACGAAATGATAAATATGCAAGACAATTTTAGTAAATTTTGTAATTGGGCGCAAATGTCTCATTTTGCTGTTGTTTTTTTCCTCATATTCTCTCACATTCAGTAGCCCCTTGATTATTAATAGCTGTATTGACTTGCTTGGGGTGAAATGTGATCAATAATTATTATTATGATAAACAATTTACTTTTGCATGTTTTATTAGGAAATAAACTGTCTATCCATCTATCTAAAGTTGGATGAGAATCTACCGAAATAATAGAGTCAATTTTGCAAATTTTTACTTTAACATGTTTCATCAGAAAATTTATCTATCTATCTATCTATCTATCTATCTATCTATATATCTATCTATCTATCTATCTGTCGCCGAGATTTGAACACAGTGATTAAATTTGTAGACATTATGCATTGAAATGCTGAAAACCTTCACAGTTTATACAATCTATTTCAACGATAGTGACATTTCCGTTGCACTAATTGTAGAAATTGATGAATTGCGAGAATGCGTTGGAAGCCGTTTGCCCAGATTAAATTGTCTTTTACCTGTCATTTCAGCGAAAAATCAGTTTGCCGGTTTTTAAGCTGGCATTCGAAACTATGATTTATGTTAAACGGACTGAACGATGCAGACATTTAAGCAAAAGTCTTACGTGTAAAAATGTCACCAGAAATGGTTCTGTTGTTTAAGAGCGTTAAGTTTGTCAAAAGGAAAATGATTTTCCATTTTAATCGCATCTATCTATGCGTCTATGTATATAAAGGTGCGCGTGATTTTCAGGTAAAAAGGTAGTAAACAAACATACACGCATATATATATATATATATATATATATATATATATATATATATATATATATATATATATATATATATATATATATATATATATATATATATATATATATATATATATATATATATATATTATTGCATTTGTTTTCCCTAATAAAATGTAAAGGTAAAGATGAATATAAAAATAACACGCAAGTTCAACAAGGGCTAAGTTTTTTTAATGTTAGCGTACGAATGAATAACTCTATTCAGCTGGAAGATTTCAACTCCGCCATTGTCTAAGCAGATCTGAGAGTGCATATGTTGATGATGACTACTTTGTACCTCTATACGAAAAATGAATTTCGCACTTTTCAATTTTTCTCAAGTATACATCTGCTTTCTTTTTCAACTGCTTTAATCAATGAGTTTTCTTTCTTTTATCGACTTTATTCAGCAAGTATGTTTTCTTTACCTTCAATTATTCTCTTCCATTTCAAAATTCTTCATTTCTCCAACTATTACGTGTAATTTTTTTAAAGAATCGTGAATGTCTTTCTTAGTTTTTACTTTTGATCTATCTATCTATCTATCTATCTATCTATCTATCTATCTATCTATCTATCTAAATTTACATATATATATATATTTATATATGTTCGTGTCTGTTTATCGATCTATTTCTTTTTTCTCTGTTTATCTCTCTCTATATCTTTTGTATCTGTTTATATCTATATCTATCTATATCGATATATATATATATATATATATATATATATATATATATATATATATATATATATATATCTGTTATTTCCTGCCTGATTAAACTGTTGTCTATATTTCCAATCATGTTTGATTCAGAGCAAGTCGACTCAATCAAAGACTATGTCTTGCAATCGATCAGCTTATCTATCCCTCCATCTATCTATTTAAATAAACTCTAGGTCATTACGTCTGATCAGCAATATCGATACATTATTTAATTTTTTATTCTCTTTCCTATTCTGAATTATTATCCGTTTTTTTTGTTGTTTTTTTTCACTTTTTGTTTAATCATTCATTTTCACGTTTTCTCTTGCCCGCCTCTTTCTCCAAGCTCTAACAGATTTTCGCTTTGTCTGCCTGGCCTTCATTTCTTCTTCAAACTCCCAATATAAATTTAATCCCGTCATCTCTCCTGCGCGGTTCCTTTCAGCTCGCATCATTTCTCAAGTCAATTCATCTAAATTCTCTCACTTCAAGACACTAGCTTTTCAATTCGTTACGTTTTGTCTTCTTACGCGAAGAATTTTTTTAATGCCTTTTTACTTTTTTATGCTTACGCGTTATTTTTTTTTTTCTGACTTCATGCCTCTTTCTGCTTTAAAAAAATATTTCACTTCTCTCTATTTCTTTTCTGATATTTTTTCTTTTGGTTTTATTTACATTTTTTTCTTTTCTTACGCTTATTTCTCTCTCTTTTTTCTTCATATGTTTTACATCTCTCTCAAATATTGTGCCTAATTTTCATCTGTCTCTATTTTCTTCAACTATGTCAGGTATTTTTTTTTTACGTTTTCTCTCTAATTCGATTGTTTGTTTTTATTCCCTCTCAGTTATTTCATCTTCTGTTTCATTTCAAAACATTCTTTTTTATGATTTTTACATCACAAACATTTTGTTTTTTAATTTCAAATTAAAAAAAAGAATTGGTAGATGAATAAGGTTTCCAACCCATAACATTTCATTCTTCCATATCATCTTCTTAATTATTTCTTTCTATACATCATTTTATTTCATTTCTTTTACCTTTCTCATTCAATTTTCTTTCTGGTTTAATCATTTTTTGTCCGCTTTTAAATCTTTTTTTTTTTTTGTTAATTCTTCAGTTCCTTTCTCCGCTGTCAAAATTCAAACCTATTAATATTGCTATAACCATTATTAAGTAAAACCATAACATCAACGCCAACACATGACGTTTCTTCTCTCTTCATCTTACCGTTCAGCGTCGGCATTTTACTTTTTGGCATACTGCAGCCATCATCATTATTGTTCATATTCTTTTTCCTATTTCGATTGTCTAGTCACGTTCTGTTCATTGCTTTCTTTATTTGTTATTGTTTTATTTTGTCTTTGTTCAGCTGGCTTTCTAACTACGTATTAAGGATTACGGCCCGCTCCGTTCATCTGTAAAATCTCGACTGTTCTGTCCATTTCTAGCATTCCCGTGAGGACAGACCTGTCCGAGAGGAATTGGTAGCCAGCACTTAACTGCTCTTGGGCAAAAACGTTTTGCTTTAGCTAAACGTCTGATCGAATTCAACGCTCGGCCCGTAATGAGTGATCAAAAATCTTACGGAGTCAAACAGCGTGAAATAGTTCTTAAAAATCAATTTACCTTTTTTTCTATCTTCACTGTGCTGTATAGTTTTCCGCTCTACTCATCCTTATCACGGAAGTTTTCTCTCTTTCTCTCTCTTTGTCGTTAGCTCTTTTCAATACCAAATCTTTTTTTCTTTGCAGTACCCTTCGTTTCTTTCTTTTCTTCTTTCTTTTCTTCTTTCTTTTGTTCGTTCGTTATTTCTTTCTTTCTATCGATTTATTTCCTTTTTCAGCTTTTGTAAAAGTGTTTAATTTTTGTTTACGGACATTTTGTAACTACTTTTCAATTGTTTGCCGAATATTTACATTTTTCCTGTTAAGTACTTTTTAAAAACTTTTCCTTCTTTCTAAACCTATCGAAATTTGGTCTCCATTTTGGCGACGTTGAAGAGAAAAATGATTTTATATCGATAGAGAAAAGCTAAGAAGAATCATCGAAGACCTGGAAAATGAAGAAAATTCAAAGAATAAATTATATTTTTTCGTCAATTGCTTTTTGTTCGTTTTTTTTGTTGCTTTCTTCCTTTGTACTTTTCTTTTTTTCTTATATTGTATATTCTCTCTATAAATTGGTAAATAAAAAGATCCGTAGCCTAATGATAAAAAAAGTATTTATTTTACACATCCAGTGTTTATTATTGAACTTTATTTAGATAGAAATATTTATCATGTATATCACATTATACAGTGAAAATTTCAGATAAAAATTCAAGAAGTAACTACGTGACCTCCTATAAAATTATTGATTTATACTCATAGTTTAATTATTCTGTTTTTTTTATTTATTTAACAAGTCAGTTAATAATACCTGCATAAATGATCTTTTCGGGTTTTATTTCTCTTTTCATCGTCTTCTTTTCTTTCCCTTTTTCTTTTCTCTTTTTTGTCGTTTGTCTCCATTTTTCTTTTTCCTTTTCTTTCTTCTTTTTCTTATTTCATCTTTCACTATTTTCACTTTCGCTATTTATATTCGTTTTTCTCTATGGGGTCACCTTAGCGTGCTGTAAAAGTCAGCAAATTTGTCTCGCTAGATAAAAGTACGACTGATTAGTGAGTACGATCCTCAGTGTGTTCCCTATGCTTTCGGACTAGTGCCACATCTAAGCTCCGTTTGGAAAATCACAATATTCCTCTTTCTTTATTCGTTTTTCTTTCTTCGTCTTTCTCTTTTTTCTATCTTCTTTTTATCTTTATTCGTCTTCCTTTATTTTGCCAGTAATCTTTCGTTTGTTTGTATTTCTTTCTAAATCCATGAATCTTTCTTCATCTTCACGATCATTTTTTTTCGAGTTCACTTCATTCATCTGTCTGTCGACTTCATTAACAGCAAAACCTGAAATGCCAGCTAAAGAAACGCGTTTACATACTCTTTTTTCTCTCTCTTTATATATTAAACGCACCACAAGAAGTCAAAGAATATGAAATAATTATTAGGAATCTCAGGGCTTCTTATAGATTAGTTGGGCAGTTCGCCTAGCATCACCGGAGTTCACTGGCCCAATCAAGTTTGCCATCAAAGACTTCGCAAATCTCTATATAATGGCTGGTCGCTCGTATTCAAGTATGCCTGTATGCTCACGCGTCTAACCAGTCTCTGTTACAGATGTCTGCTAAAGCACATTTACGTTTGTTCATCGCCCACAGAGCACTGCTATGATTTATACAGCAACTATTCTAAGCGAGCCATAGTTTCTGGCAGAGTGCGCATCATCTGGCATAATCAACAATTTATACAAGGCTAGTCACGATGACTTCGCGCTAGCACTACCATCGACAATGTATTCGGTCTACCCAATTTCATTCACAAGCCCTGCGTCAACCCATGGTATGGTTTTTATACACTTTCCAAAGGTACTGCCAGTTAGGATCGCCTGTCCAGGTTGATAGCATCAAGAATCCACCTTCCTTGACAAATCGACCACGGTAAGATTCTCATAGTTGCAAGTTGAACGTTCTAATCACTCAGTCACGATTATTATTATTATTATTATTATTATTATTATTATTATTATTATTACATGTGTGTAATAGCGAATCATTATTACATATGTAAATAACCGTGGTAATAACAGATGTCCAAGATATGGCGACGTCTTGAATTTTAATAATTATTTCTACTTATTATGTAAGAAATTTGATTTTAATGCCAGTAAGAGACAGGTGACTACTGGAAGTAAAAGAGATGCAACATACTTTAGAAGGAACCGGAAACCCATTAATAGCTGAAATTTCAGAGTTTAGGTGGAGAAATTAGAAGTATAGAGTTGAAAGGACTGGAAACTTAATCTTAAAAAGGAAATAAGATATAAACCTCGACTTCAAAAGACCAGGAAGGACTGTGAACTATTGTGAAAAAGAAATAAATTAATAAATAGACAATAAAGAGTTCAGAGTTTTTAGAAGGATATTCTTGAAATAGAATTTAGAAAGGGACTGGAAACCTAATCCTAAACAGGAAACAAAAGATAAGCTTCTACTTCTGTTCAAGAAGACGGGAAGAAATGTTAACTATTATTGTGAAAGAAGAAAAAATAAACAGTGAAAAATTCAGATTTTATGCGGAGATGTTAGACGTATAGAGTAGAAGTAAAATTCACAAGGAACCAGAAACCCAATCCTAAACAGGAAACAAATGTTATTCGAGGATAAAAAATTAAAGGCAATTTCGATACAATACCTAATTTTCTATTAATGAAGAAAAATGCTTATGTCACTTTTTGACATAGTACTTCTGGTATTGTTCAACGAACGTCTTCATTCCTTTCAAAAAGAAGCTTTTTGGTTGCTCACGAAGCCTCGTCTGCACCGCTTGCTTGTTTGGTCAGCCAACATGCAGAAACTCATCATACGCTATGCTTACGCAGATCCATAACTGATGTCTACGATTGTCACCATTTCTGCTAACGAGATCAAATTATCAACCCCCTGGATTTGTTCTTCCGTGCGCTATGTTGATGGTCATCCAGATCGGCTTTCATCAGACTTGTTCTTCCCACTTTGAAGAGTTCTACCCACTCATACACATTTCGTTGATCCACGGTGGGGGGTGGGGTGATCCATATAGCACCAACATTTAGCAATGAACTACCGCAGATCTGACTCTTTCTGCCCACAGAGAGTTGTTCTTCAATGATTCAATCACTGAATGGCGCGTCCATACGTCTGACCTTGCTGTTTCCTGTCAATGGATTGCTGCGCATCGTCCCATACGCACGCGTGTTATCTCACGTCTCTATCGGTTTAACGCGTAATTTTAAAATGCCTTTACTTCCTGATTTACCCTTCTTGCGTATATATATATATATATATATATATATATATATATATATATATATATATTCAATCAAGTTCGGTTGAATAATCTGAACATATTATGTCTATTTAATTTTATTTTAATAGGAACAAGTACAATTACATAAATTAAAGTTACCTCCCTTAAATAAAAGATTAAAAAAAAACATAATCGCTTTAACAGTGTCAATGTTTATTTTTTTAATTAATTATAACGGAGTTATACGTGCTTATAATTATAACAGAGGCCGTTTCATGCGCATTTACAAAAAAATCACAACTATCAATTACATTAATTTTTTGTCTTTGCAATTTATCTCTGGAGATGATCTTGTCTGAGATTGAAAGTACTTGGGAAAATACATGAAATAAAAAAAAAACAAAAAAAAACAGAAATTAAGGCGCGTTCGTTAATGTATTTAATATCAACATTAAAAAGTTGATCCGAGAATTCAAGAAAATTAAAATAAAATAAATAGACATAATATGTCCAAAGATGCTTAAATGGAGATAGACAAACACTCACACACACACACACACACACACACACACACACACACACACACACACACACACACACACACACACACATATATATATATATATATATATATATATATATAATTTTAAGGACAGGGATCATAATTTTATTATCAAAATAAGATACAAAAGTATCGTGTTTTAAGATTGAAGGCACCTTTCAGTTGACACTTCTTCAGAAATAAATTCATCGGCAATATTACATGAAGTAGATGATAAGAAAAATTTTTTGCCAACAACTGATATTAAAATAAAACCTACAAATCTAGAGAGGGGAATTAGGGGAAGAAAAATAAAATTGGTCCCATGAGTCAAACATTCGACGGCAAAATTTCCAATTCTATCAAACCGGTGTTTTAATGCCATTATGGTCTGCAGTATTTTTTCAACCAGAAGGGCTTTCCCCGCTTGCCTGCCAATCAAAAAAGTTGAGTAATATATTAATATAAATATCGGTGTGAGATCGACTATGTGGGCAAGACCATCCAGATTTTGGAGAGGTTAGGATCACCCAGCATGTCACGGACCAGGTGTGCAAACACGAGTCCATGACATCCGGGCGTTCACATACGCATGACTCCGCGATCGGTGAGCACATTTTAAATTCTGTTGTTTGCAGGAACAAAGTATTCTCTCGAGTTCTTTTCTGTCTTTAGACCTCCTGGAGTCTGTCATTATTAATATGCAACGTCCTGCCCTGTATAGATAACGGGAATTGAAACATAAGTTGGCCCTATTCGGGGAAACTGTTGTCTAACTGGGAAGAAAATTGGTATTTTTTCTTTCCCCACTTCCCTCCTCACTTCCTGATATTTTAATATCAGTTGTTGGTAAGAATTTTCCTTATCAACTACTTTGTTTTATATTGCCGAAGATTTTATTTTTTGAGGAAGTGTCGGTCGAAACGTTCCTTCAGTTTTAAAACGTGATAATTTTGTATCTTATTTTAATAATAAATTATGATCCCTGTCTTTAAAATTATTTTATCTTGGTGTGGCAACAAAAACCTGTTTATATATATATATATATATATATATATATATATATATATATATATGTGTGTGTGTGTGTGTGTTTGTGTGTGTAAAGGATTTTCGCTGTTGAAAAAGACAGGCGTTGACATCAGTGAGTGATGTTTTGTAAAAAGAAAAGTGTAAGAAAAATATAAACCTTAAAACAAGGATCAAGAGTAATTATGAGATATCCCGTGACTTGTATAAGTCATATTACTCCTAATTTGTTTATAGAAGTTTTAATGTAATAACTTTTATTCTTATATCGGTAAAACGTATACGTACGATATTCCTGTTGTCTAAATCAGTAATGATCCTTAATCATGTTGCGTCTAGCTTCATGGTTAGGCCTCTACGCATAAGCTTTACTATGTAAGACATAGGATAGATTTTC